CCCCAACGCAGCGTCCTGATGCTAGAATTAATCCCGCTCCATAATAAGGGAATATTGGTGCCATCCGCGAAAACTCTTTGTTGGTGAAAGCTAATGTTTGATTTTGCAGGTCCGACGAGTTATGTGGCCATATCGGCTAGCTATCCTGCAAAAACGTCAGTGTCGTTTTCCACAACAGGAAGCTATACGTGATTATTATGATGAACATTGCTTGAGATTAACATTGTTGGAATGTTAATTATTACCATGAAATCTTGTCGGTAAATATTATTGACGCCAATTTTCTTCCTTTTGATGTGAATATTACTTGGCAAGTCATTGACTTTCCTAGACATAAGGAATGGTTAAGTAGACAAGATAAATTCTTCCACGTGTGCCTTTGTGAAGAATTAGAATATCTTATATCGCATTCCCATATTATTATTGGATGCTTGAGAAAAATATGAATTTTGTATATTCAAGCTAAATGACCCATAAATATGTGGTTAGAGAATGAGAATCGATAGATCTGATTTATTTTGATATGGGTAAACTTGATGGAAAAAACAATAAATGATATATTGCTCTTTAGAGTGCTCTGGTTGTCTAACTAGTTATTCGAAATAGTTTGAAATGCCTAGTTGCATTATGATTGCACTGATTATTCGATATGTGGCATGGATGTGGTAGCATTAGAGAATCAGTGACATGATAACTAGAAGAGCATATGAGTGTGTAAGTTATTGTAAAACACATAAGCCTATGAAACGAAATACTCATTAGTTTGTGAAAACCATTGATGCCAATAGATTCCATTTATATTAAGAAATAGTGGGGGTGATATCATGCCTACTATTAGAAATAATGGATAACTAGTGGGGGTGATGAATCTGAGTATGAACTCAGAAGAGACAAATGAACCATAAATCACGAAAGGATTTTGGTTATGAATTTGTTATTTACACCCTAAGAAAGAAAGATCCTACAAGTCTGCTAGAAGTTCGAACTTCCATAAAGATGCAGAATTGTGGGAGAATCCATTATTAACGAAATGGAATTATTGGAGTCTAATAAGACTTTAAATCTTGTAGAGTTACCTCTTGGTTGAAAAGCCTTGGGTAATATATCGATAGAATCGAACAAGATTTGACATCTTTGAGAATTACCACTTGGCAATAAAGTCATGGGTAATAAATGGATTCTTAAAAGAATAGTGAAACCTATTGGTTTAGTTTATGAGTATAAGGATCGCCTAATAGCTAAGGCTTTAAGCGAAAAGGAAAAATTGTAAATTTTCTTGTTATCTATTCACCATATGTAGAATAACATCCAGGTATGTTCTGATTGCTAGTGTTGTGCGTCAGATGGATTGTTAAACATGTTTCTGTGAATGGTGATTTAGATAGGAAAATCTACATGGGACAACCTATAGGGTTGTTATTCCTGAACATGCTTAGGGAGTCTATAGTTAGACAAATCATTGTAAGATTTGAAATAGACTCTAAGACGATGGCATGAACAAACTGGTTCTCTCTCATGGTTTTAAAAGTGAAAGTGACAAGTGCATTTAGTACAAATTTGAGAATGACACTTGCATTATGAATGACACGTCGCTCTTTGGTACAAAGACTCGTGATGTCAATATTGAAAAACCATGATGGTTGAGAATTTTGAATGTGAGGGATCTGAATGAAACAAATGTTATGCTTAGAGATCCTAATAGCTAGGAAAATACAAGATGTACACCTGCATACATGTTTGATGATGCTCGTATAAATATTTAAAGAAACCTAAGACGGTGTAAGAAAGTTAGAATATACTAGCATTTACAGTCTGCAGGAGGCAGCTGATAAACATGATACCCGATTTAGTGGGGGTACTTGGCAGGCTTACTGATTGTCCTAGTATGAAGCATTGAAATGCTATTGAAAGGGGTCATGAGACACCTTAAGAACAGTAGACCTTGATATAAGTTATCAATGGTTTCTTGTTGTATTGTTAGGGTATATTGATGCGGACGAGAATACCCTATAGAAGATTCCAAGGCATCCAGTGGACATGTTTTAAACATCACTAGAAGTGTTGTGTCTTGGAATTCTAAGAAGTAAACGATCCTGGCTCAATTAACTAAGAAATCAGAAAAGATAGAGCTAGCAATGACTAGTAAAGAGAAAAGTTGATTGAGAGGGTTATTACTAGAGATTCCCTCATGGGAAAGACCGATCCCTCCGGTAGTTGATTCATTGTGATAGCACCGCAGCTATTACTAAAGAAGGGAACCGGTTCTAGAACGAAAAGAGACGACAAATGTGTCGTAAGCACAGTACTGTAAGAGAACTCCTAACGATAGGAGCAATGAGGGTGGATCCTGTAAGATCCTAACAGAATCTAGCTGATCCTTTGACGAAAGGATTATCTAGAGAGAAAGTCCAAAATACCACGAAGGGTATGAGACTTATGCCTACCGAACCATGGATTACAAGTGATGGTAACCCGACCCGATAGACTGGAGATCCCAAGAAACGGGTTCAATGGGTAATAACAAGTCATGAGTAATATTGAGAAAAGTTCATGCATAGTGAAGCATGAATCCCAAAGCCTTGGAGGTTGAGTTAAAACTCTTAATGAGATCTATACTCTATGTGGAGTGAAGTACTTTACTTTTGGGGTACTCCTGATAGACTCACCTATGTGAATGTGGGAGTGGGGCCGCTCCCTATGGAACTTTGGAGGCACAAAGTTGCTAGAGCGTTCACTAAACCGGGATAACGTGCATGGCCATAAACGCACGGCCTATGAGAGAATATCACTCAATGAAAAGATCCGGTGTGCTACATTGTCTGAGATAGGGTTCAAGACTACGAGTCACCCTTATGAAATCGGAAGTGTAACCACTACGCTAAGGTTCAAATCTTCGCGATACCTTAGTTTATGCCCGATCTTATGGATCTGTTGATGCTCAGAGATAGTTTCAAAACTATTCAAGTGGGGGATTGTTGGGAATGAATAGCTTTGAAAGCTATATTGAATTAATTATCCAGTATTTTTCTATATACGAAAATAGAAGGATAATTAATAAAAGAAGATTATGGAGATAATTAGAATTAATTATCTTAATATAATATATTTTAATTATGGGAGTAATTATCTCCCTAATTAAATTGTGACTTATTCCCAAAGAAAGAGGGAATATTCTGGGTTTTCTGCTCCTATAAATAGGAGACGCCCCAGACCCTCTAAACACACCTCAGAAGAGCAGAAACACGAGAGAGAGTGAGATTCAGAGAGCTCCAGTTTCCGCACAAAACCGCCGAGCAAATTTAATGAGTGGCTGTTTTATCCTGGAGGCGACCGGCTGATAGTCTGCCGTGCGCAACGAAGGCAGTGCCGCGAACGTCTTAAAGAGAGCGACCTAGTCCGCGACTCAGCCATATCGGTAACCTAAATTTTTCCTGTTCGATTTCTAACAGAACCCGACCAAACCCGTGTTCCAACTATTAGTATGAGTTCGGATCTAAAAAATATTTATGTAGTATATAGTCATATACTTATGAGAAAATTAAGATATTTCGCCATGTTTTTCTCTCATGATCTCCCTAATCTAATGCATTCTTCGACGTAAAGTTTAGACATAAATTGAATATAGTAATGATTCACGTAATCCTTTTTCTTCTGTACAATTTTAATAGAATAACATATGATGGATGCATTTGTTTATAACATTTTTAGCCTATTTAATAGAATAACAAATGATGGATGCGTCAATTTTTTGTAGTTTCGAACAATTTTTCCGACGATTTGCAACGAACAGACGGTGGACCGGAAATTTTTCCGGCAAGTTTTTCATTTTTCCGGCAAGTTTTCCAGTTTTCCGGCGAAAAACACGTTGGCCCGAAAAAAAATTGTGGCCGGAACGCCGCCGAGCCGAAAGAAATTTTCGGCCGGTGCGACGCCCAGCCGAAAATTTCTTTCGGCCCGGCGGCGCCTCGGCCGCAAATTTTTTTCGGCCGGTCGCCGAACACGCCGGCAAAAAATTTTCCGGCGGCGTGTTCGTCGGGCGGCCGAAAAAAAATTGCGGCCGGGGCGACGACGGGCCGAAAAAGATTTTCGGCCGGGCGTCGCACCGGACGCAAAATATTTTCGGCCCAGCGGCGCACCGGCCTCAAATTTTTTTCGGGCCACCGTGTTTTTCGCCGGAAAACTGGAAAATTTGCCGGAAAATTGGAAAACTTGTCGGAAAAATTTTCGGCCCACCGTCTGTTCGTTGCAAATCGTCGGAAAAATTGTTCGAAACTACGAAAAATTGACGCACCTGCTTAGTGATGATTCATGGATGTGTGTCCGCAGTTTACGTCGAGGATGGGCTTTCCGGCGAGCGTCGATTTTTTCTGATTCAATACGTTTTCTGAAAGTTGAATATGTGGTAGATTGTGAAACTTCTTAACCAAGGATGTACATATATACTTTTTTTTTAATTGACGGCAAATAGCAATTTTTTTGGCGGCAAATAGCAAGCCCTTTTTTTATCGATGTGTTTTAGGAAAAATTAACTCCTTAATTTCCACCATTACATTTAAAATCCTTAATTTCTCTCGGTGGCAATCATAGAAAAATAAATCACCAACGCAATCGTTGAAAAAATGATATGGAAATAGACTTGTGAATTAGATGTTGCTTTCTTTTCTTTTTATGTAAACGAAATCATTAGAATTTTAATGTGTTTTATTAAGGAAAATTCTCAATTTTTAATTAGGGAAATAGAATTAAATATGGCTTATTGCATTTTTGGTGTTTTATAATTATTTAATATAATATCTATATACCATTAGAAGTCTGTCATTAGGTTAATTTGAGGGAATCAACATTCTTGTCATAAATATTGGGTGAAATAAGGAAAATAGAAATGAAATTAATTCATAATCTTCAATCCTAATTATGATATGTTACAATTATTTAATTACTCAATAAATAATTAATAATTTAAAACGGAAGTAAGTAACCGGTCCAACGCTGAGTTGTGGATGCCCTCCGACATCGGGTTTCGGACGCGGTTCGATGCCGGAATTCGTACCCCGTCCGACGCCGGATTTCGGACCCCGTCCGACGAGGGATTTCGGACGCGTCAGACGAGGTATTTCGGACGCCGCCCGAACTCCGGCGTCGGACCGCGGCTTCAGGCGCGAACTACGGCGTCAGAATGCTTCTTCTATCCAAAGTCTGACCCATCCCGCCGGTGACCCTAAATTGCAGGGGAAAACGCTGCCAACTATCCGGATCTGAAACCAGGGCTTCTACCTTCTCCCTGTTATTGTTTTCGGTCTGTGCTGGGATTGGATTAGTGAACAAAGAAGATGATGATGGTGAACGCTGAGCTGATGCCAAGAATAGGAAACAAGAACGACGAAGATGATGATTCCATGACGGGCAGAGGATGAAGATAAAGTTTCAGTCACAGGCAAAGGACAAAGACGACGGGAAGGCTAGCTAGCTAAGGGAGGAAATCGCTGTGGTAGGGTGGTTTGCGGTCGGCGACTAACTTCTCCGCCGTGAGGGAGGTAAGTTTCGGCGGTCGTGGGATAGTTTGTGGGATAGGGTTTGTCCAAAGGGCAAGGTGTAAAAGGGGTAAAAGTATAATTTTTTTTAAAAACATGGGTGGCAAATAGTAAATCTACGGACGGCAAATAGCAGTTCAGCTTGTTTAACCCAAGAACGGTGGGCCCATCTCATAAAGGGTGGTTACCATACATTTTAGGGCTCACAACTGTTTTATGAATGGAGGCCCGACCCACAAATGTTTTGATGTACCTCTGTGGGAAATTTCAGGTATGCCACCCAGGCCCAGATGCCGGACGGAAAGATGATGGTGGTTGGCGGCAGAGACGCCCACAACTACGAATTAATCCTGCTAGAAGGACAACACAATGCGGCGTCGATCAAGTTCGACTTCTTGACCCAAACCACCGACAAGGACGAGAACAACCTCTACCCCTTTATCTATCTCAACACCGACGGCAATGTCTTCATCTTTGTCAACAACCCGCGCCGTCCTCCTCAACCCTAACACCAATCAAATCGTCAAGGAGTTCCCTCCGCTGCAAGGAGGACATAGAAACTACCCGGCCTCCGGCCAATCGGTCCTCCTCCCGTTGAAACTCCACTCTGGGAACCAGGGCAACGTCGCCGCCGAGGTCCTCATATGTGGAGGCTCCGCCCACACCGATTTCTACACCAAGGGGAACGAGGGCGTCCACTACGTCGCGCTCCAGGACTACGGCCGGATGCGAATTACCGACCTGAATCTGGTCTGGAAGCGAGATCTGATGCCTTCGCCGCGTCTAATGGGAGATATGTTGCTTCTCCCCTCTAGTGATGTCCTGCTAATCAACGGCGCTAAAAGGGGATCTTCAGGTTGGGGTTTCGCCAGAAACCCTAATTTCACCCCTGCGATCTACAATCCGCGTGTAAAGAGAGGGGAAAGGTTTAGGAAGCTCGCTCCGACCACGATCCCCAGGATGTACCACTCCACCGCCACCGTTCTTCAGGACGACAAGTCTTCGTCGCCGGCAACAACACCAACAACAGGTACGTCTATGAAGCCCAATGGGCCTGGAGGCAGTGAAGCCCAATGGGCCTGGAGTCTAAATCATCGATGTCTGGACCCCGCCCAATAGTATGATCGCTCCTACTAGGTATTATATGTTGTTCGTTGTTAATCAGGGAATACCAAGTGAAGTAATCTAGGTTCAGATTAAGTGAAGAAATTAATGTGGAGACTAATTTGTTTTTAAAGTTTTAGATCCTTTGTTGCAACTAATTGGTTGATTAATATGATTGAATTTTCATTCCAACTTGTCCTTAACAATATATTATCAATATTATACTAGTAGTAATTATTTAGGAATGTTCATATACGAGATCACAAATGTAAATTGCTCACGGCTAAATATGAATTGAGACCCAACTTTGTCCACTATCAAACACAAGCCTGACTAATCAAGCAAGACCTAATTCACGCTCAAATTATCAATAAACAAGTTAGCACACTAAATATCGCGACCCTACTTGTAACTTTATTCCGATCGTAAAATGACATAATACATCGATGAATCGCCTAGTCGTAGAAGAGACAGTTCGGTGCAGGAATATTATTTAACGACTAACGGGTGGGGACTTTGATGCCTAACAACGATTGCAGTATAACTTTGTCAGACCTAGACAACAAACTCTATGCCCCTACTTTGGAAAAAATATCTAAGATGCCCTTCTGTTAAAATTTTCATCCATAAACCGTTAACCACGACCAAATTTTGGTTTGGGCAACACAAATGTCTAAAATATCCCCAATAATTTCACTTTTGAATTTTTTGGTTCTTTTTGTATAGCCAATGAAAATTTTAACAGAAGGGCATCTTTGATAATTTTTCCAAGGTACAGAAGCACGCTTAATGTAAAAAATAGTATAGGATCATGTTTGATAAAACGAGATAATAAAGAGGCATATTATACCTATAACCCTTCTCCTTCCCCTGAAAGGTAAGAAACCACCACCAAAAGAGATGACTAACACCACCAACAGAAATTACTCACGTCGTCTCTCCAGAAATAGGACATTTTGTGGGGTTTTCTTCTGTTTTTGCAGTTATATTTTATGAATTACATTTTTGTTAATTCTTACCTATGATAGAGTGCTATCTTCCACTCGTAGCAGCGAAGCGCAAGTGAGCGGTACTTGAAGAAGGGACTTGATTTTGTGGCAAAAGAAAGAATGGTGTTTTGCAATTTTTTCAAATCCTGCAGGTGTATACGTCAAGGAAATTAACAAAATTGCCGGCCGGCAATTTGACAATTGCTTTTAGTCTTATGCACGATCATGTTGGGACTTGGGGTTCCTCCCGAAAATGCAAATCCCTAACGCGTCCCAGCTTGGCAGAGGCTTAAACCCCATTACCTACTCGACGCTCTCCTCTCGTTCCCTTATGCCGTCACCACTCTCTTGACGAAAGAAATCTGCAGCAAGCCCCTAACTTTAATATTCAGACAATCATCTCAAAGAGGAAAGACATTGTCAATGTGTTACCTGGAACTAGAATATTAAAAGAAGCTGGGAGCTCATCCATCTCACTGTATTGGAACCCCTATAAAATCCCATCAACCATCGTCAAGGAAAAGCATCCCCTGCGCCGCCATTTCAGCCGAGGAAGCAAACCAGGAGCGCATTAGCTTTCGGTGTACTTGGAATGGCAGGTTTGAGTTACCCTCTAGTACTGGCAGCTCTGTCTGCATTTACATGATCTACGACTATTGCAGAGATTTTAAGAGATTCAACGGCAATATGCCACCAGAATGCTTCAAGCCACAGTTCTAAGTTAGAAACGTTCCAACTGCGCAAATAGATTTTCCTTTCTATTCTTTGGGTTCCATAGAAAATTGATTTCATTGTTTTCGCTCATGTCAATCTGAGTTTTGTAGCATTCTCCCTCCGTTACTTCAACGGAGTGTGAATACAGAGTTCAAGTATGTTCACATTCATGGCTGCTGCAATCATACTGTTAACCCCATCCCTAAATGTGGATTGTAATCGACTAATGAGCTCTCATATTCAATCCAGACACAAGTATGGGATCCGAATCAAATGAAGTCCATAGTAAATGAAGTATGCCCAGAAATTCGCACTATCAACCTGACGCTCGACTGCAATAAATTAGGTTATGCTTGCAAAGCCAGATTCCAATCACAAGAAAAACTGAAAAGGCCGTACCGATCAAGTCGAAACCGATGCTTGTTTCTTCCCATAGGACAGTAGAAGGCTGATAGCGCTTCCGATTGAAGAGACGAGCTGCGCCGTCCACTTCGGTGCGGAGGCTGTGAAACTGTGTAATGGAACAGAATTGGAGAAGAACCCGCATCGGATTCTTGTGCCGCGAAGGCTATATATATAGGAGATAACTCTTTCCTATACAAGTAGTCTAGGCTAGTTTAATTACAACGGCTAATAAACAGTAAACCTATAACTACTAATAGAAAAGAGACACGTGCTCTGTACAGTGATCAATGAATGAATAAACAACACTAAGCAGAACGACATCGTTCTTATCCAACCCTTCAGTTGCTTCCGGAGAGAACGGCGTCGTGCAGCAAGCTCCTAGTGTCGTTTTGCCAATACAGCTTCAGCATCAGACTTCGTCTTCTCTAACATGCCCCCTCAAGCTAACCATACATATCATGGATGTTTAGCTTGGATAGTAAGTGAAGAAGTCGATGCTGGCTCGGCCCCTTGGTGAACATATCTGCAACTTGATTCTCCGTTTCAAGGTGACTGAGGCTAATGAGCTTTGATTGAAGGAATTGGCGTACCACATGGCAATCCACCTCGATGTGTTTCGTTCGTTCGTGGAACACCGGGTTCTCTGCAATATAAATTGCAGATCGATTGTCGCAGAAGACTTCCACAGGTCTCGGATGATCAATGTGAAGTTCTTGTAGAAGCCTTCTAACCCAAACAATCTCACAAGTAAGCTGAGCTAGAGCTCGATACTCAGCTTCCGAGGACGATCTGGAAATTGTGCTCTGTTTCTTCGATTTCCAGATTATCAAAGACTTACCAAATGACACACAATATCCCGTTGTTGAACGCCGTGTGTCTGGGCATGATGCCCAATCTGAATCACTGAAACCCCTTAATTGTCCATCAGACTGAGATAGATAAACAATCCCTGTCCTGGGGCATTTTTCAAATACTTCAAGACTCTGTAAACTAACTGCAGATGTGTGGTGGTAGGAGAAGCTTGGTATTGGCACAACTGTTGAACAGCAAAGGTGAGGTCTGGTCGAGTGATAGTAAGGTAGTGTAAACGTCCCAGAATTTTCCTGAACAAAGTGCCATCTTCAAGTAAAGGTCCATCATCTGCAGAAAGTCTCGTTTTCATATCAATGGGAGTGATCACAGGCTTGGAGTCTTCATAGCCAGTGTCTTGCAATAAATCAGTGCAATACTTCTTCTGACATATATGCATTCCCCCCTTTGATTGAGCGATCTCAAGGCCTAAGAAGTAATGACGAGGTCCAAGATCACGAATCTTGAACTGAGAATGCAGAAACTGTTTGAGCTCTGTCATGCCTTGCACATTATCACCAGCAATGATAATGTCATCAACGTAGACAAGGAGAATGAAAATCCCAGACTGCTGGGAATACTTGATGAACATAGAATAGTCACTGTGGGATTGGTGATAACCAAAACTGAGCAGGGCAGAGGTGAGTTTGGCAAACCATTGCCTGGAGGCTTGCTTGAGCCCATACAGGGATTTTCTGAGTCTGCAAACATGGTCAGGTTCAGTAACACCAGGGGGAAGATCCATATACACTTCTTCTTCAAAATCCCCATGTAAGAATGCATTGCTTACATCTAACTGGTGCAATTCCCAGTCCTTGGCAGCTGCTACAGCAAGAAGGGTTTTCACTGAATTGAGTTTAGCAACTGGGGAATAAGTATCAAGGAAGTCAATTCCATGAATTTGGGTGAATCCTTTGGCTACCAGTCTAGCCTTATACCTCTCAATAGATCCAGCAGGATTAAACTTGATGGTGAAAACCCATTTGTTACCTATTGTCCTCTTCCCAGAGGGACAAGGTACCACATCCCATGTTCTGTTTGCTGCCAATGCTTTCAATTCAGCATTCATAGCATCTCTCCAGACCTTGTACTTCACTGCTTCTTCAAAGGTTGTAGGAATAAAGGTGGTTTCCACAGCAAAGACATAGTTTCTGTAACCTGGAGATAGCTGATCATATGACAAACAAGCAGCCAATGGATATGTATACTTGTCAATGTGTGATTCTACATGCATGACATAATCATTGTATTTGATAGGTTTAACATGGACTCGGGGAGTTTTTCGAATGGCAATAGGTAGGGAGGAAGGAGAGGGAGTTTGAGGTACTGAATGTATAGATGGTGAAGGTGTATGAGCAGCAGGAGAGGGAGAAGAAGGAGAGGGTGCTGGTTGTGGAGTAAAAGGCTCAGTATCAACCAAATCCTTTTCAGGAGAAGCAGGAGTTGGTTCTAGTGGGGTCTCAAGGGGAATGGAGGAAGGGTGTGGTGGAAAAATGTCGGGTGGGGAATCTGTGGAAGTGGAAGGAAAGGAAGGTTGAGTAGGATTGGAGGGTTGAGACTGAGTAGTGGCAGTGTCTATGCAAGGGATGATATTCTCATGGAACACAACATCTCTTGAATAGAAAACCTTTTGATCTAACAAGTCAAACAGCTTAAACCCCTTAATTCCAGGGTGAAAACCAAGGAAAACACACTGTTTGGCTCTTGGTAGGAATTTAGTTCTATGATTGCCTAATGTAGAAGCATAACATAGGCAACCAAATACCTTAAGTTGAGAAAGGTCTGGTGTATTGCCATACAAAACTTCATAAGGTGTTTTGTTTTTCAGAGCAGTAGTGGGAAGCCTGTTTATGAGGTAAACATAATGGAGAATGAAATCTGACCAAAACTTGAGTGGTAATCCAGATTGAAACTTTAGGGACCTAGCTACATTCAAAATGTGCTGGTGTTTTCTCTCAACCCTTGAGTTCTGTTGTGGTGTATCAACACAGGTCATTTGGTGTGTAATCCCATGGTGAGAGTAAAAGGAAGGGATATGGAATTCACCACCTTGATCTG